TGACATAAAAAACTGGCCTGGCGCTAAATTCAGAGCCACTCAAAGTCATATGCTTACTCAAAATTGGTTCCGTTGCATTCTGCAAAATTCTTTTTTTAAAGAATATATAGAGAGAGAGAGAGAGAGAGAGAGAGAGAGAGACTAAATATATCTCTAAAAAAAATTATTTTGTATATACAGGGTGTTCCATTTTAATCTATCACTCCTTTTATTTCCGTAGGGTAAGGTCGAATTAAAAATATGTTCAGACAAAAGTTGTAAGGTTCAAAGGGGGCCAATAGATGATCTTATTGATTTTGAATCGGGAGTCCGTGTTGAGCCCAGTAGAGCCCAAGTCAATTTTTTTAAATGGGAACTCCCCTGGATTCAACACAGACCCCCCGATCCAAAATTTAATAAGATCGTTTATTGGCCCTTTTTGAATCCTACAACTTTTGTCTGAACATATTTTTAATTCGACCTTACTCTGCGAAAATAAAAAGGGTAATAGATTAAAATGGGACATCCTGTATAGAATAATTTTTTAAAAAAAGATTTAGTCTTTTTGTATAGAAAAATCACGCTGAAATTTTGAAAAGGCAACAAAATGTTAGCCTCTTATCCTTCGTTACTCTTAAGTCTTATTGTAGAAAATCCCTATGTAAAATAAAGTGTGATATATGCATATTGAAAAAGGACCAGTTCGTAACGAGATTTCAAAGGTTTATTTAACAGGTGTCACCGTGTATATAAAGGTGCCCAACAAGCGCCCACTAAGTACATAGCGTTTATTTTTTACCAAAAACTGAATCGAAAAGTCCTGAACCATTTTTTTTTTATAACGCTTAATAAAGAAGTTATTACTGAGTAAAGTCTGGCCAATCAGCGCCGACCTTTAGCCGAGCGCATGTCGATGAACCATGGGCTGGTAGTGTGCGTGAGCGCTCCGCCGCTACAGCGCCGGCGCGACGACGATTTTCCATCGCGCATGCCGCTAGCATGCAATATTTGGCTGTTCTTCCGAAAGTGACCCATTGATTTAAAAATCGAGGTTTTGTATATATAAAGTAGAGGTTGAAAAGAGGTTAAACCCAAAGTTTGAGCCACGGCAAATTATTTTTTCGATTTTTATTATTATAAGTAATAATTTAATTCTAGGACATGGGTTGGATTGGGTTAGATTTTTTTCTGGATGGGCGTACAGAAACGCAGTGGGTTCCGCTCCTCTCTACGGGGGGCTCCACTTCTGAAAGATATAACCTGCGCCCGGCTAAAGGTTGGCGCTGATTGGCCCGACTTTACTCAGTAATAACTCCTTTATTAAGCGTTATAAAAAAAATGGTTCAGGACTTTTTGACTCAGTTTTTGGTAAGGAATAACGCTATATACTTAGTGGGCGCTCGTTGCGTGTCACCCTGTATAAAAGAACTGTATTTTCTCGAAGATTTTTGAATGTGTTCAATATTATTATACATAAAAATACATTATACATGTATATCTTAATTATATTTTTTCTTGGTAAAACTACATAAAAGGTAACACACTTTCGATTTTATCGCTACTTAAATATGTTGTAGGGGAAGTTCTTCTGAGTAATTCCCCGCAAGAAATAGGTGAAGGACGACATTGGTTTAGGAGATATAATAAATTAAAGTTTTACAATTTTAATGCTTTTTCTCAGGTATTATAAAGTAATATTAGGATACGAAGGAAATAAAAGGCAATCAAAAGCCAGCGCGGTAATTTGTGCGCATATGTTTTATTACAATCAAATTACATTGATATTTTGACTACGTGATAGACGAAATCACAAAAGCGTACGTTTCGGTCCCTTTTTTGGACCATCCTCAGCGCAATTACAAAGTATATGGAATATATTATATTAAAAATGTGACAGTAATAATACGCAGAACAAGAGTGAGTCACCCATGTTGTCAGATGGTAAATGTTATATAATGTAATTTCGAGACAGAAAGAGACTGTCCGATAAAATATACAAATATACTACCTTCTATACAACATGGATGACTCACTCAAGTTCGATATAATTATATTGCCAGTTATTTTTTAATGTAATATATTTTATCGGACAGTCTCTTTCTGTCTCGAAATTACATTATATAACACATTTACCATCTGAGAACATGGATGACTCACTCTTGTTCTGCGTATTTTATTACTGTCACATTTTTGATATAATATGTTCCATATA